TCAAAATATTCAAAATGTTCAAACGAAAAAAACAACTATCAAAGGGAGAAAAAAAAGGTTTCAGTTTGAGAACACAAAGTTCAGTCTTGTTTGGGAAAAAAGTATATTACTACTCAAAGTGATGTAGTTGTTTGTTTCAGGGATGAGAATTGGACATTTCAAAAAGGCTGTCATTAAATCATTTGTTTGATTTGTTCACAACATTTAACTTTTGGGCACAACCAACATAAGCTGTTAATTCCCCAGCTTTATTTAGCGAGTTTAGTTGCGCATCAGGAGGAGACACAGGCTTTCTTGCAGCTGTGTAGTTATTGCGTGCACAGGTTACGCCAAGACTCGCACATGACAAACAGAGAATGGTCCTGGGCGCACATGGTCCTTAGGACATGGCCCCATTGCAGCTGTGCGATTGTCGTGTTCTTGTCAAAGCGGCTCAAAGCTGCTGGACGCGGGAACCACTGTCATTACAGAGCAGCCGCAGCCATGGTGGATACGTAATCTTTTTTTCTTAATTTTTTACGGATTTACACATTTCACATATCCAAATATGTGCAACAGGCCTTCTGACATTGCAAGGTCCGCCCCATGGTCAGTCCAGCCCTGCCTGTATCATTGTTATTATGAACATCATTATTATCGGCAGAGAACGACTCAATAACCCAATGGGAAGAAGTGAACAATTCCTGCTGTATTCTCCAATCACTTTCTATATAGACCATGTGTTTTGTCTCTAGCCTCCTCAGAGAGCTGAACCTAGCATAGTGCAGTGTTAAACCAGGACACAGGTCCCACATGGTCCTCAAACATGGTCCTTCAAACACCGCTAACATTTGCTCTGTCTGTTTGAGCTTCTGGCTGCGTTGCTATACGCACTGAGCCTGTTGTCTTCTGTTTGCAGAAGAAAGGCCTTCAGAGATTCCACAAACGGCAGATTGGGAGCGGACTTCTTGGAACGGAGTGTGTGCCGAGGTCTGCGGGGGTCAGCTGTAGCCATTGTGAAGAAAGAGGCGCTTCCTGTTCCCGCCAGCGCCCAAATACGGACACACAGGAAAAGCACAAGAGACTTGAGATACACAGAAGGGAGGCGGCTGGGGAGGGGGAAACCACTATATACATCAGTCCTGGTCTCAGGTCTCTGCTTCCTGTGGCTCAGAGAACAGACTTTAAAGTGTTGGATTCCACCTCCAGGTCTTTCTGTGTGGAGTTTGCATGTTCTCCCAGTGTCTGTGTGGGTTTCCTCCAGGGGCTCCAGATTCACCTACCACAGAAACATGTACTCCTCACAAAACACTCCCAAATCCATCCATCTAACTATTTGGTTATGAGAGAGTAAATTTATAGAATAATGCAAATAAACCCACTCGGACTCTGAGGAACACAGTTACTGCCCTCCTGCTTGGACTGAGGAGCACAGGGACTGGCCTCCTGCTTGGACTCTGAGGAGCACAGGGACTGACCTCCTGCTTGGACTCTGAGGAGCACAGGGACTGACCTCCTGCTTGGACTGAGGAGCACAGGGACTGGCCTCCTGCTTGGACTCTGAGGAGCACAGGGACTGACCTCCTGCTTGGACTGAGGAGCACAGGGACTGGCCTCCTGCTTGGACTCTGAGGAGCACAGGGACGGGCTCTGTTCCTGACTTTGAGTTACCTTGTTTTATATATAAAAATACTTGTTTATACCCCAGCTTTAAGGGCCAAAATGAACACAAAAGAATGTATAATATTTGTTTATTTAAAGTAGATGTTATGAGCCAAAGCCCAATAAAAGTCTCACTCTCTCCACAGAAACCGCCGCCTCAGTCCGACGGCAGACCGCATCGATCCGCAAATCTTCCGTTCTAGGAATTGTTTTTCCGATCGATATTTCAGATCAAACTTTGAACGCGGCTGGATTTGCGTAACCAAAATCGGCTGAAAACCACTCACCGTTCACCTCTGGGTCAATAACTGTCTCTGACCGAGCTCCAATCAGCAGCAGCGATACTGAGACTCCCATGAGTCTGAGTCAGCAGACTTAAAGCTGGGGGACCTATTTTATCTTCACATACATATTCCATGTTGTTTGTCCCAACAGAAAGAGTCTAGTTAAAGTAGTTGTGAACAAATCAAACCACAACCTACTGTATTCATCTTATTAGAAAAAAATATTCATATATATTAACCCTCTAAGTCACTTTTTCACTATTTGGGTTGAGAAGTGATCTCGGGCAGTCCTTTCTTTCTTACTTTCCTCTTTCTTCTCTCTCCCTCTGGTATCTCTCGTTACTCTCTCTGGTCTCTTTCTTCGGCTTCTCTCGCTGGCCTCGTTCCTATGTCTTTCTCAGGTCTCTTTCTTCAGAGGCCTATAACACATGTGAAAACTAGTGCACTGCTTTTCATGATGTAGTTCCATTGTTGTGGTTTGAAAGTTAGGTACCTCAGCTTTAATACAGGCTTGAACATTGTACAAGTTTTACTGCCTGGGATATTACAGTTTGGTTCTCTTAAGTAATCTTGTCCTTCTCCACTTTCAAACTGTCATTCCCTTCACTACTATTACTTGAGCTGGTTTACAAACTAGTAAGTAATGTTTTTTTTATATGGCACATTTCAGAGACCAAAGTGCATAAAACTAAGGCAAACATTTTATTCAGAGGACCACTTAAGTTCAACTGCTTCTTTAACATCTGTCAGGGTTTGCTTTTATCTTTTCTCTGCTTCAGTTAGTCTCTGAATAAATTTGGGTGCCTAAACAGAATATATATTACACTACTCAGTTACTTTTAAGTAAAAGTAACCACCAAGATACTTCCAACATAGCTTTGTCCCACACACAGTTTGTGTTTTAGGACTAGACTCAAACTAATATTAACATCAGGATCGTAGAAAACATTTTAAGCCCAAAATAGTGAGACATATTGAGCAGGAGGAGAATAAAATGGAGGTCACTAGGACCCAGAGAAAGTTGGAGCCTCAAGTTTGGCGTCATTGAGCATGGCAGGTTAACATTGTCCATCTAAACACGGTCTATGGTACCACACATCCATAGACCGGATGTGTGGTCTATGGACACACCGGGGTAGTCTTGCACAGTTTTCCAACGTGGTTTTACTGCAAATGGCAAATAAATGATTGATAACTGTGATAGAACAAAGCAGATTAAATGTCATATAATGGGGAGGAAACTTGGACAGTCATCTAGCTGCCAGTCGTAAATGATTGATTAGAAATGGTATTTTTCAAACATTTGAGTTGTTACTATAGACAAACAAGCTGCAGCATTAGTTATTTGTATGAAAAACTGGCTACTCCTACTGTATATCATTACATTTCTCATTTTCTGTTCTGTTGAGGAAGCGACACCCATTGATATTTAAAAACCAAAATAAATTAAATCAAACCAAGTCCTCCCGACACTGCTGGTCGCCTCCCATCCGCTAACATTTCACCACAGACACAAGACTTTGAACTTTTCCAAAAATACGGGTTTATTTAACTGCAATCAATACTTTACAAAAAAGAAACAGTTTGTCTCCATAGAAACTCACAGAATTACTGTAGTGAACATAAAAACATGGCTGAAAAAATACATTCATCTCTTTACTTTCTTTGCGTCGAATCGTTCACCGCTCTTTAAGACGTCAAGGCAACAACACGAGTGACTTCAGCTCGAGGATCATTGTTCGCTTGTTCAAAGGAGGATAAAAAAACCTTTTATATATTAGCTACCTGGAATGTTATAAGGCACCGTTCTGGTCGACGAGCGGCCGAGCGAGTGCGTCAAGCTTCCAATCCACATCAAAGGGAAAAAAAAAAAAAAAAATACAATATTAAACTTTCCATTACCCATTTTGGTTTTTTCACAAATCCAGGTTTGACAATAGTGCACGTCCCATTCCACCAAAAAGTACATGAGAAAATACGTTCCAAAAGCCCAAGATGAAGAGGCTACTTTGACCGGAGGAGGAGGGGGCAGAGTGCAGATGCAGTCCGAGACAAAGGGAAAAGTAATAAATAAAACGCAACGTTTTTTGCTTTAAATTAACTTTTTAACAAAGTGTAGTTGCAAAGAACAAAAGTCATTGAAGTACAATATATTAAACTGTGAAAAAAGGAAAAACTTGACAAAAACGTCTTCACAATCTTTAGATTAATACGGAAGATCATAATTTAACATAAAAGAAAATATATTCTATTGCTCATTATCCAGATAAATACAAAACAAAATTAACAAAAAATGCATATGATCACCAATAAATATGTTCTGATAAGTTAAATAAGCAGTGACAAGCAAACCTTCTGTCGGGAAAGTTTCTCAAACAATAATAATAACCGTAATAACATTAATAAAAAACAATTATCAAATAAAGAAAGCAGATGGGTTTGATGAGTGGAGGCTGAACAGTTAAAGACTTGGATCTGATCTTCTCCGCACTGGGAGCAATGGAAATCCCCAGAGCGAAAAGGGGCAGGGCTAGGAGCAGTGTGACATCAATCCTTTGCCCAAGAGGCAGCAACCAGCAACAAGAGTTTGAGAAGAGAAAAAAGGGGCAGAACCAACTTCCAGTTCAAAGTCCTTCCGACAGAATGACCCAGTCCAGAGATAAGATCTGAGGAGGACGAGAGAGAACCAACCACCAACTGTCCATACACCCCACCAGTGAAAGCTTCAGTTAAAAACTCAGTCTGGAGGTCTGCTGCAGTCCAGAGGCACAGTCCAGGAGCACCCTCATAAGGCACCCTCACAAGGCAGTGGTTACAGTGGGAGGAGTCTAGTGCATAAGGCCCCGGTGCGAAGCCAGCGCTGCTGCTACACATTCAGAACCTGAACCAGTGGCACCTGCCACAGTCCATGATTCCATTGTTCGGTTCCTCGGTTTGGCACTATGACACAAGGCAAGACGGTGCAGATTATAATGAAATTATCATTTCTAGGTTCCCTTAAAGACTAATCCACAGATTGTTAGGAGCTCTAAGGCAGGGAGGGGCAGCAGGAGGTAGAGGGGAGAGTCCCAGTCTTTAGTCGTCAGAGATGGACAGGCGGCTGAAGATGGGCAGGCGGCGTGTGCTGTCAAGCGTCGGGCTCTCTGATCCGCTCAGACTGCCCCCAGAGCTGCTCTGGTACCCCTCCTGGTCCGACAGAGAGTCTGGGGGGCTACAGGGGGTGTCGAACATGTGAGGGGATTCCACCATGGGCCTGAAATAGTACGGTGCTACAGTGGGAGAGGGAGGCCCACTGGGCTCCGAGCCCATGGGACCGGTCCCCAGGCTGGGCCCGAACAGACTGGCCAGCTCCTGGCTGGAGTAGGTGAAGGGGTTACTGCTGGGCCACTGTGGCAGCTCGTCAGGGAAGAAGGCGGGAGGAGGAGTGAGGGAGGTGGGGCTGTCCCTGAGGCTGGAGCTTGAGAACCCTGCAAAGCTGTAGCTGTGCTGCAGACGGGGCCGCTCCTTGCTACAAGAGCCTAGGCTCTGCGGGGGGCCACGGCGCTCCTCAGCGTTGTGGATGAAGTGGCAACGTGGGCCGTACGGGCAGAAGCCGATGGTGTGGAAGGTGCGGCACAGCTCCGTCTTGTACTTTGGGTGGCGGCTCAGGCTGCGCAACTCGTGTAGGCCATGGGCGAACTGACACTTGTCTCCGTACTTACAGGAGCCGTTCTCCTCGAAGGGCCGGCACAGCTCAGTCTTGTAGCGGCTGGAGTTGACCTGGGCGCCCCCCGTGGGGCTGGGCGGGGTCAGGCACTTGTTCAGCAGCCGCTCGCCCGTCTCGGAGAAGGAGCGCTCGCGGAGGCGGTTCTCCTTGTTGCTGCTGAGGCCTGAGAGCAGGGGGTGGTCCATGGCCTTCAGGCTGTTGATGAACTGGTTCTGGCTGAACTTTGTGCTGCTTACGGAGTGTCGTCTCTGGAACACTGCGGAGGGAGCACCCACCGCCTTCCTGTCCAGCAGGGATCCAGGGCTCAGGGGCAGGTTCGAGCCAGAGCAGGGACCTGACATGTGGGGGGCCGGCAGGTTGTTGTTGAAGTTCAGCAGTTTGTTGTTCTGCAAACACAGAGAGCAGAGATGAGACTCAGTGTCATGTGTCATTATCAGCAGAGCTATCCTCCTGCACAGTGGACACAGCAGCAGCTGCCCTGGCGCGCTGCCTGCGCAGGAATGTGTGTCTTTACTAAATGGAGCAGAGCGCTGCATTGTTTGAAAAAAAAAAAAAGAACAGACTCTGCGCCTGTGGAAGTGCATGAAAAACTGACTTCATTCACTTCTTAATGAGACACCAATTTATTAATCTCTCATTTAGATCACTAAAAACACCGCGAGCTGCAGACACAGTAGAAACTGGTAGCAACTCTGTTAAAAGTCTCTGGGAAAAGGCGAGGTAGTTTAAACCAGAACTGAAGAGTTTAGACGCAGTAAACGACTTAACAAATGCAACGTGAGGCCAGAGACAAATGTGGTGAATGGTTAGCATGAGGCCGCTTTGAGGAGCGCATTAAAAGTGGCGCAAAAGTGCCCTAATTATCAAGAGAAGCCATGACATAACTGCGTCAGCCTTGCCTGCGTTTCACTGCTGAACAAATGAATTAACCAGAGTTTCAGTCCGTGGAGGTTCCTGTCGTCTGTAAATACAGGATCGTGCTCAGCGGTAACTTGTGGAATCACGTTACCGCCCGCTTCACATCAAACAAACCAGAGATAAGATTCTTATAGAAGTTGATAAAAACGTGCTCTGCAAACAAACTAAGGCAGATAGAGGCATAGAAGTGCACAAAACTCACTGACACTGAAATCAGAGCAGTCCGGAGACGCCGCCTGCAAAACCCACGGAAAACTACGTATAAAAGCGCCTGCAAAAAGTCTGAGCCAGTTTGACGTTTTAGACACAAATATCTCACACGTGCATTGATAGAACTACAGAGGAATTAGCCACAAGCATGCCACTTTAAAAACAAGAAGTTTGGACAGCCAGAACAAGGCAAAACAAACCCAAACAGGCGGGTTTTCTCAGCAAGAAACGAAGCTACGCGCGTCATTCCAACACACACTGTGGCTACGTGCTAACAGCTAACCCCCAGGACACACAAACAAGTTTGCAAGCACGCAACAACAAAAACAACAAAAAAGTACCTTGTTCATTACATCAAAGTCGAAGAAAGGCGATACAACTGCGGTGGTCATCTTTGCAGCGACCGGAGTCCGCGGGAGGAGGAGGGAGGGCGAGATTGTGGAGTGAGACTGAGAGAGGGATTATTGGAGAGGCGTATCTGTGCGTTTGGCCCTGCGTCCTGCCCCCTCTGCCCGGGCACAACGCACACATTTGGGTTTTAAAAGCGACCAGAGAGCGGGAGGAGCCTGGGAGGAAACTGGGAGGTAACTTTTGCAACACACTGGAAAAAAAAGCCAGCCCCTTTGCTTATAATTTCTCCACACTTCGAAATTATAAGCAAAGGGGCTGGCTTTACTCGACGTTACTTTACGCACGCACTGTCTGTGTCTCTCTGCTCCACGAAGCGAATCGAGTTTTTGTTGTGTGTGTGGTTGTATCTGTAATCGATTGAGTAATGAGTGCGTACATGTGCGTTTTTCGGTGTTTCGACTTCTGTTTCGACTTAGTCTGTTTCGACTTTTTGGTTCGAGTGGAAATGTACTGCTGCTGCTGCTGCACGGAGGGTCACTGCACTTACCCTTTGTACTTTGGGATTATTTTTAGATAGTTAGATAAACATTGTGTGTGTATGTGTGTGTGTGTGTGCGTGTGCGGGTGCGTGTGTGTGTATGTTGGAGGACTTTACATAATTGTTGATTCGTCCGGAACAGATCAGAGAATCAAACAGTCCAATCACAGGAAATGTAACAATACGACTCCGAAAGACTGCTTCTAGAGTGTTTGGTTCTGTCACTCGCTCACAAACATGATGCCGACAGGAAGTTGTGGTCTGATTTTTACTTTCACAAGATGTATTCTGTCGGACAAACAAAGTGATGAACAAAACAAGATAGACACAATAAAATCATTAATAATCACAGTACATTAGAAAGAGTGAAGATAAAATCCCTCAGTTGCAGCACAGCTAATAAAACTGTTTTAACCTGGATTTGAACACTGTCAGAGAAGAGGCCTGTCTCACATTTTCAGGAAGACTGCTCCAGATTTGTGTTATTTATAGGAATATTTATACTAACATACATGCTCACGGTTTTTCAGACATGATGATTTTTTTTATATCCTTTCTTTTGTTTCTTGTATTGATTTCAAACTGGAGCACTTTGAGGTTTGTTGGAAATGTACTAATAAAATGTATTATTATTATTATTATTATCTTGGGGGAAAAGTTAGGGATCCCCGCTTTAATGATCCCAGCTCGATATAATTGTTTTGTTTAACATTATTATAAAACATGACATATTTGCTGTTAGTATTGATTATTCTTTTCTATTGAGAGACTAATAGATTTAGACAATGTTAGAGATATAGTTAGAAATAAAAAAGTTAGACATATTTTGACCCAGACTGAGCAGAGATGTTGGAAGGACCATAAGTGTGTACAGTTGTGTATTTTGGCTTTCGCCCACACAGCACTTTGTAAAACCTACAATTGTTATTTCTAGTCAACAATGTATATTTAATAGTCAAGTTTGTTTGCAGGTCTCTCTCTATAGTCTCTCTCTCTATTCCCTCTCTTCTCGCTAGTCTCTCTCTTGTCTCTCTCTCTATTCCTTCTCTTCTCTCCTGTCTCTCTCTGGTTTCTCTTACTCTCTCTCTCTGGTCTCTCTCTATTCCCTCTCTTCTCTCTAGTCTCTCTCTGGTCTCTCTCTGGTCTCTCTCTCTCTCTCCCTCTCTTGTCTCTCTCTCTATTCCCCCTCTTCTCTCTAGCCTCTCTCTGGTCTCTCTCTCTATTCCCTCTCTTCTCTCTAGTCTCTCTCTTGTCTCTCTGTTCCTTCTCTTCTCTCCTGTCTCTCTCTAGTTTATCTTATACTCTCTCTCTCTGGTCTCTCTCTATTCCCTCTCTTCTCTCTAGTCTCTCTCTGGTCTCTCTCTGGTCTCTCTCTCTCTCTCCCTCTCTTGTCTCTCTCTCTATTCCCCCTCTTCTCTCTAGTCTCTCTCTGGTCTCTCTCTCTATTCCCTCTCTTTCTCTCTCTCTCTCTGGTCTCTCTCTCTATTCCCTCTCTTTCTCTCTCTCTCTCTCTCTGGTCTCTCTCTCTCTCTCTCTCTCTCTTGTCTCCCTCTGGTCTCTCTCTCTCTCTGGCCCCAACAAAACATGTGTATAAGTTACTTTCTTCTCCCTTTGTTACAGCTGGAGTCACCTGTGGGCAGCGTTTCACAGGAGCCAATGGGAGGCAGCGAAAAACACATGAATCCAAATAGTCGGAAATAGTTGTGGTCGAGGAAGGAGCAGGAGGAGGCTAGGCTCAGGTTGCCTTGGAAAGTCCCACTCCTGACGTCGAAAAATAATTAGGAGTGAATTAATGACAGGGCCTAGTGGGGAGGGGGGGGGTGGCTAGAGGGGGATGAGGAGGAGGAGGAGGAGGAGGAGGAGGTAGAAGCCCCAGGACACACAGGGCACAACAGAATCTGAATTAAAATTTTAACAGAATCAAACGTTAGTTAATTAGCGACTTGCAAACACCACAGATATTTTGGCTGGGTGTAAAATGTACTCTGCAATGGATGAAATATTCTATCTTTGCGTCCGGAACAGGAGAACAACAACAGAGGAGCACAGAGACTGGCCTTCTGCTGGTTCAAGAGTCACTAAAATCTTCCTGAAAATGTGAGACGGGCTTCTTCTCTGACAATGTTCAGTTCTGTATAGCTGAGCTGCAACTGAAGGATTTTATCTTTTCTCCTTTTAATGTACTGTGATTATTTTTTAATGCCTTGTGTGATTGTTTCCATCTTGTTTTGTTCAGCACTTTGAGTTTCCTTGTGTATGATCTGCGCTATGCAAATAAACTTCCCTTGCTTTGCTCATTCTATTCAATACATTTTTGCATTGCTTTAAATCACAACATAACAGAGCATTGGAAGAGAAAGTACGACAAAAGAGTCATTTCACTATTGATAGTATTGTCTCTTTCTCTCTCCATATTGACCTAGAGTGGTTTTTCTCTCTGTTCTTTTTCTGGTCTTTCTCTGGTCTCTCTCTGGTCACTTCCTGGTCTCTTTCTGGTCTCTCTCTGATCTCTTTCAGGTCTCTCTGGACTCTTTCTGGTCTCTCTGGTTTCTTTCTGGTATCTTTCTGGTCTCTTTCTGGTCTCTCTGGACTCTTTCTGGTCTCTCTGGTCTCTTTCAGGTCTCTCTGGACACTTTCTGGTCTCTCTCTGGTCTTTCTGGTATCTTTCAGGTCACTTCCTGGTCTCTTTCTGGTCTCTCTCTGGTCTCTTTCAGGTCCCTCTAGACTCTTTCTGGTCTCTCTGGACTTTTTCTGGTCTCTGGTCTCTCTCTGGTCTCTTTCTGGTCTTTCTGGACTCTTTCTGGTCTCTCTCTGGTTTTTTTCTGGTATCTTTCTGGTCTCTCTGGTCTCTCTGGTCTCTCTCTGGAAACTCTCTGGTCTCTCTCTGGTCTCTTTCAGGTCTCTCGGGACTCTTTCTGGTCTCGACTCTTTCTGGTCTCTCTCTGGTTTCTCTTTCTGGTCTCCCTACTATAATATAAAAAGTTTTTAGGGCAGCGAACTTTAACATATTTGTGGCCATGACACTATTCACTGGAGCTTTGAGCCATGAACAGAGTCCATGTCAGGGTTTTGTGTTGCTAAAGAACAGGACAAGCACACACACACACACACACATGCACACACAGACACACACACACACACACACACACACAGGGGGATCCAGCAGAAGAAAAGTAGAGGAGGAGTCTGGAGAGAATAGATCACTGCAGGAGGAGGGAGCCTGGATTTATGACGCTGTTTATTACCTCGCTGTGCCCCAGGGGAGAGGGGGGAGTGAGGGGAGAGTGGAGGCGGGAGAGGGGGAGGACATGCATTCCCTTTCCCCTTCCTCTGGAGCAGCAAACTAACACTGGAGTTCTGAACAAGTGAATAGTTCAGTGTGTACATCAGAAGCAATAATGATATACAGGATCAGATTTAAACTTATTTTCAATTCTGTGTCTCTCTCTGGTCTCTCAGGTCTATCTCTGGTCTCTCTCTGGTCTCTCTCTGGTCTCTAGTAGGTCTCTCCCTTGTCTCTCAGGTTCCTCTCAGGTCTCTCTCTGGTCCCTAGATTTCTTTCTGGTCTGTATCGCTTCTGTATCTCTCTCTGGTCTCTCAGGTCTCTCTCAGGTCTCTCTCTCTGGTCTCTCAGGTCTTTCTCTGGTCTCTCTCTCTGGTCTCTCAGGTCTTTCTCTGGTCTCTCAGGTCGCTCTCTGGTCTCTCAGGTCTCTCTCTGGTCTCTAGATTTCTTTCTGGTCTTTATCGCTGCTGTATCTCTCTCTGGTCTATATTAGGTCTCTCCCTTGTCTTTCTGGTTTCTCTCAGGTCTCACCCTGGTCTCACCCTGGTCTCACCCTGGTCTCACGCTGGTCTCTCCCTGGTCTCTCTCTCTCTCTCTCTCTGGTCTGTCTCTCCCTGCTCTCTCTTTGGTCTCTCTCTGGTCTCTCTCACTGGTCTCCCACTGGTCTCTCTCTCTGGGCTCTTTCACAAATTATTAATGAACTAGAATACCTGGACCCTCATGGGAAAGTGTCTGTAGTTAGTTGTTGTGACTTATTTAGTTTTTGTCTCAAACAGGAAGATTGCATTTTTTAAATTCTAATTTCTAATTAGCACCAAGTCTAATTTGATTTGTCTGATCCTGGCTCATCTTTTCCCAGAGAAGCCACTTTTGCTCTCCCTCTTTCTCTCCCTCTCTTTCCCCTCTCTCTTTCTCTCCCTCTCTTTCCCCTCTCTCTTTCTCTCTCTCTCCCTCTCTCCCCCCTCTCTCTTCTGCTCTGTGATCTGGGTCACGTCACTTTTTACATAATGTAGAGGTTGTGTTGTTATCAGAGAGACTGTAGAGGGAGGGTCTCTCTCTGACTGATTGTGCTCAGAGGGAGTCAGCAGAGTTCAAACTGATTCAAAAGACTCAGTGAGAGACTCTGCCAGGCCTGGTGGTGGCGCTGTGACGCACAGGGAGCGGCTTTACGTTTTTTTAATGGGCATGCTCACTGGTGCCGAAATGTGTAGACAGACATAAAGTATTTGGTCTCTCTCTCTGTTCTCTCCCTGGTCTATCTTCTCTCTCTCTCTCCGGTCTCTCTTTAGTCTCTCTTTGATCTCTCTCCAGTCTCTCTCTAGTCTCTCTCTAGTCTCTCTCTTTAGTCTCTCTTTGGTCTCTCTCCAGTCTCTCTCTAGTCTCTCTCTCCAGTCTCTCTCTCTCTGATCTCTCTCACTGGTCTCTCTCTGATCCATCTCCCTGATCTCTCTCGGGTCACTCTTTCTGGTCTCTTCCTGATCTCTCTCTGGTCACTCTCCCAGGTCTCTCTCTGGTCTCTCTCTCCATGTCTCTCTGGTCTCCCTCTCCTGTATCTCTCTTTCCGGCATATCTATATGGTCTTTCTTTGGTCTTTCTTCCCAGTCTCTCACTCTCTGGTGGATCTCTCTCTGGTCTCTCTCTGGTCTCTCTCTGGTCTCTCGGGTCTCTCTCTCCGGTCTATCTCAATGGTGGATTTCTCCTGTCTCTCTCTCTCTGGTCTCCCTCCCTCTGCTCCCTGGTCTCTCTCTCCGGTCTATCTCTCTGGTCTCACTCTTCTGTCTCTCTTTCTGGTCTCTCTCCGCTCCCTCTCCGCTCTCTGGTCTCTCTCTCTTCGTAACTACAGTCTTATTGCTCTTATCAGTGTGTGTGACGTTACAATAACAACAGCTTTACGAGTGCGGGACCCCCTGAGTCTCGTCCCTCATGGAGATCAGGTCAGGGCCCGGATCAAAGCAGCCGTCGCATTCTGACGAAGTGTGTGAGATCCTCTGGGTTTTGAAGAAAGAGGGGGAGGAAGAGGGAAACAGCATGAGCCCGGACACACAAATAACACCACACTGATAAAGGACAAGATACGTCACACATTAAACCCACACAGGTTATAGGAGCCGTCTCAGCACAAAGACCAAACACAATGCTGAGTACATACACACAACAGAGGCTTGTTTGCTGTGTGTGTGTAAGTGTGTGTGTTTTCAGAGACCACTTTGTCTCCCATAGAATGTCTCTTGGGAAGTTTCCGTCTTTTGAATATGTGTCTTTTAAAATACAACAAAAACAATCTCCTCCAATACTTTTCGTTGTCCTATACAAGCCACCGCAGTCATGTCACAGTTTTATTGATAATTTTACAGAGTTGCTTTCAGTTGTATGCACAGATTTTGATAGTTTAGTTATTACAGGTGATTTTAATATTCATGTGGATAATGTTGATGACAGAAATGCTAAAGAGCTGAGTTCTCTTCTTGAATCTTTTGGTCTCACTCAGCATGTGAGTGGCCCCACCCACAGCAAAGGGCACACTCTAGACCTGTTAGTTACAAAGGGGGCGAACATATATAATGTAAACGTGGTCGATGTTGCGCTTTCGGATCATTTTTGTATATTTTTTGACATGTGTTTCACTAACAAACCACCAGTGGACTCTGCAACTGTACGAAGAAGACACATAAATGAAAATACGGGTGAACTATTTATGGGAATGATAAACTTTGAGAATGCATCGTATTCTACTGTAGATGAACTGTTTAACTCTGTCACCTCTAGTGTTTTGAAAGTTCTGGACACCATCGCTCCTGTGAAGGTTAAAATAGTGAAAAATAAGCAGAAGGCGCCGTGGGCTAAAGCAGACTCGGTCAGAGCACAAAAGAGAGAGTGCCGGAGGGCCGAGCGGAAGTGGCGCAAGTCCAACCTCCAGGTTGATTACAAGATCTTCAAAGATAAGTTGTGCGAGTTTAACCAGGTGCTACGTAGTACAAGAGAAAGGTATTTTTCTGAAATGATTGAAGGCTGCAGCAACAATCTGCGTGTTCTGTTTTCAACAGTTAATAGATTAACAAACCCCCCTGTTCAAATGCCATTAGAGCTAACTTCCAAACGTAAATGTAATGAGTTTGCACATTTTTTCAATGACAAGGTTCAAGGCATCAAAAACGCCATTGTCTCCAATCCACAGATAACAATCCAACAGCCAGAAAGGCTCTTTGAGCAACTTACTTTGCACCTGTAAATGATCAAACTGTCCAAGAGATAATCTCCAGTTTGAGCTCCTCCACATGCAGCCTGGATGTACTACCCACTAGATTTCTAAAGTCTGTTCTGAGCAGTCTGTTACCTTCACTCACACAGATAGTAAACATGTCCCTTGATTCTGGAATATTCCCAAAGGCCCTGAAAACTGCAGTCATCAGGCCCCTGCTAAAAAAGAGCAGTCTGGATGCTACGGTACTTAACAACTATCGTCCCATCTCAAATCTGCCATTTATGGGGAAAGTCCTTGAGAAAGTTGTCTACCTACAGCTTACTAGATTTCTTATAATCAACAACTCATTTGATATGTTTCAGTCCGGCTTTAGACCCCACCACAGCACTGAGACTGCTCTCGTTAAGGTTACAAACGATATCCGGCTGAACACTGACGCAGGCAAAGTCTCAATCCTAATCCTGTTAGATCTAAGTGCTGCCTTTGATACTGTCGACCATGAGATCCTCTTACAGAGACTAGAGGACTGGGTTGGCGTCGCTGGCACCGCCCTAAGTTGGTTTAGGTCTTACCTTGAAGACAGGAAGTACTTTGTGGAGATTGGAAACTGTGTCTCAGATCATATGGCCCTGACCTGTGGAGTACCACAGGGGTCGATCCTGGGACCTCTTCTGTTCAATCTCTACATGCTGCCGTTAGGTCAGTTAATACGCAGAAACAAAGTTTCCTATCATAACTATGCAGACGACACTCAGATCTATGTCTCACTGACTGCAGGAGAACATGGACCAGTGGACTCACTCCTTCACTGTATCCAACAGATCAGTGAGTGGATGCAAAACAACTTCCTTCAGCTAAACGCAGACAAAACTGAAATGATTGTCTTTGGTCCCCAGAAACAAAGAGAGAGCGTCATCTGTCACCTACAGTCTCTCTCCCTAAAACCTTCTAACAAGGTCAGAAATCTAGGGGTAATACTGGACTCAGACTTAAATTTTAATAGCCACATCAAATCAGTAACATCAGCAGCTTTTTACCATCTAAAAAACATTGCCAGGATCAAAAACATAGTGTCTAAAGCAGACTTGGAGATTCTTATCCATGCATTTGTCTCCAGTAGGTTAGACTACTGCAATGGCCTGCTCACAGGTCTGTCCAAACAGGCTGTAAAACAGCTGCAGTACATTCAAAATGCAGCAGCTCGAGTCCTGACTAGAACCAGGAAGTACGACCACATTAGTCCGGTCCTCAGGTCCCTGCACTGGCTTCCTGTGGCTCAGAGAATAGACTTTAAAACAGCTCTGCTTGTGTACAAATCTCTCCATGGCCTCGCACCAAAATATATTAGTGACATGTTAGTCCCATATGAACCAGCCCGGACTCTGAGGAGCACAGGGACTGGACTCCTGTTAGTGCCCAGAGTCAGAACTAAACATGGGGAGGCTGCTTTTCAGATTCATGCTGCTAAAATCTGGAACAATCTTCCTGAAGATGTGAGACAGGCCTCCTCTCTGACAATGTTTAAAACCAGGTTAAAAACGGTGCTGTTTAGCTGTGCATACAACTGAGGGATTTTATATTTTTATCTTTCGTTTTAATGTTCTGTAATTATTTATGATTTTAATGCTATCTTGTTCAGCACTTTGAGTTGCCTTGTGTATGAATTGTGCTATACAAATAAACTTGCCTTGCCTTGCCTTGCCTTGTGTGTGTGTGTGTGTGCGTGTGTGTGTGTGTGTGTGTGTGTGTGTGTGTGTGTGTGCGTGTGTGTGTAAGTGTGTGTAAGTGTGTGTGTGTGTGTGTGTGTGTGTGTGTGCATGTGTGTGTGTAAGTGTGTGTTCGTCATATTATTTCTCTTAGTTTGAATGTGTGTGGAGTGACAACTGCTTTATGAGACCCTCTCTGTGGTCTCTCAGCCTGGTCTCTCTCTCTGGTCTCTCTCTCTGGTGTCTCTTGGGTTTCTCTCTTGTCTTTCTCTCTCTGGTCTCTTGTCTCTCTTGTCTCCCTCTCTGATGTATCACTGGTCTAGTCTCTCTTTGGTCTCTCTTTTGTCTCTCTATTCTCTCTCTCTCTCTCGTCTTTCTCCCTGGTCTCTCTCTCTTGTGTTTCTCTCTGGTCTCTCACTGGTGTCAGTCTCTCTCTTGACTCTTTCTAGTCTCTCTCTTGTCTTTCTGGTCTCTCTCTTGTCTGTCTATCTCTCTCTGGTCTCCCTCTCTGTGTATCTCTGGTCTCTCTCTCTCTGGTCTCTTGTCTCTCTGGTATTCCTATGGTGTCTCTCTCTGGTCTCTCTCTCTTGTCTCCCTCTCTGGTTTTCCTCTGGTCTCTCTCTCTCTGGTCTCCCTCTCTGGTCTCTCTCTGGGCTCTCTCTATGGTCTCCCTCTCCCCTCTCTGGTCTCTCTCTGGGCTCTCTCTCTGGTCTTCCTCTCTGGTCTCTCTCTTGTCTCTCTCTGATGTCCCTATGTTCTCTCTTTGGTCTCCCTCTCTGGTCTCTCTTTGGGCTTTCTCTCTGGTCTCTCTCTCTGGTTTCTCTCTTGTCTCTCTCCGATGTCTCTATGGTCTCTCTCTCTGGTCCCTCTCTGATGTCTCTATGGTCTCTCTCTCTGCTCTCTCTCTGATGTCTCTATGGTCTCTCTCTCTGGTCTCTCTCTGATGTCTCTATGGTCTCTCTCTCTGGTCTCTCTCTGATGTCTCTATGGTCTCTCTCTCTCTGGTCTCTCTCTGATGTCTCTATGGTCTCTCTCTCTGGTCTCTCTCTGATGTCTCTATGGTCTCTCTCTCTGGTCTCTCTCTGATGTCTCTATGGTCTCTCTCTCTCTGGTCTCTCTCTCTGATGTCTCTATGGTCTCTCTCTCTGGTCTCTTTCTGGGCTCTCTCTCAGTGCTCACCCCGCTCCCTATGGACCAATGGCTTCTATGTGTGTGTTTGTATTGATTCCCATCGACAACTTTGTAAAGTCGTTCCCTGAAGTTGTGATTTTTTTGGCGTCTCTGTCTCTGTCGGAGGAGGCACCTGTTTCCTGCCGAAGTGAAAAACCTTCAAACTCACAAATTACAGTTTAACAACCGCACAAATAACTGACACACAACTGTGGCTTCGGAAGTTACAGTACGAGATCAGGAGTTTCATAAGGAGCAGTCAGAGGTTGTTGTGGTCCTCAACAATGAAAGGAAACAAAACTTCTATCTGATATTTAGACACAAGAACAAATACTTTCACCTGAACCTGAGAGAATCTGCGAAACCTCCCAGTTGGAGAGTTATAATACATTTTACTTTTGTCAATTTGTCTAAAATGATAGTATGACATTAATAAATTGACTTACTTCCAGACTGGGGTTCCTCACTATAAGACCAGAGAGAGACCAGGGAGACGAGAGAGATCAGAGAGACACCATAAAGAAACTGGAGAGAGATCAGGATGAGAGACCAGTGAGAGAGACAAGAACGAGAGACAAGAGAGAGGAGAGGAAAAGACCAGAGATAGACCAGAGGGAGACCAGAGAAGGACCAAAAAAAGACCAGAGAGAGAGACCAGAATGAAAGACAAAAGAGAGGGAGAGAGAAAAATGCCAGAGAGAGACGGACCAGAGAAAGACCAGGGAGGGACCAGAAAAAGACCAGAAAAAGATCAGAGAGAGACCAACGAGAGACCAGAGAGAAAAATACCAGAGAGAGAGACCGGAATGAGAGACCAGAGAGAGACCAGAGAGACCAGAGAGAAAAATACCAGAGAGAGAGACCGGAATGAGAGACCAGAGAGAGACCAGAGAGACCAAGCATATACAATGGACCACCTTTATCATACATAATAACTATGGAGCAGAAACATGCATAAGTAGTCTCTTCTTAAGCTGATTTTCTCCCACTTTCTATCCCGCTTTGGCCTAAATCTCTTCTCAAGGACACCCTTCTCAGCTGTCCTCCCTCACAGTCAGTTGTAGATTTTCTTTGTGGCTGTTTGAAGTGTGCGTTCCGGCCCGTCGACCTGCCCTGCTCTCCCCGTCGGAAGCCGGTTTGATGTGCGAGTGGGAGAGCTGGATACTCAGTGGTTATCTTTGCAAACAGGAGATTAAAGAACAGTGATGTGGCTGCAGCACACACATACGGCCACCAGAGGGACTCTACCTTACTCTACTCTGCTCAACTCTCAACTGATTGGGAGAATTCCCAGTCTCTGCCTCAGTCTCTGCCTCAGTCTCTGCTTCAGTCTCTGCCTCAGTCTCTGCCTCAGTCTCTGCTTCAGTCTCTGCTTCAGTCTCTGCCTCAGTCTCTGCCTCAGTCTCTGCCTCAGTCTCTGCTTCAGTCTCTGCCTCAGTCTCTGCCTCAGTCTCTGCCTCAGTCTCTGCCTCAGTCTCTGCCTCAGTCTCTGCTCCAGTCTCTCCCTCAGTCTCTGCTTCAGTCTCTGCTTCATTATCTGCTTCAGTCTCTGCTTCATTATCTGCTTCAGTCTCTGCTTCAGTCTCTGCTTCATTATCTGCTTCAGTCTCTGCTTCTGTCTCTGCTCCAGTCTCTCCCTCAGTCTCTGCTTCAGTCTCTGCTTCAGTCTCTGCTTCAGTCTCTGCTTCTGTCTCTGCTCCAGTCTCTCCCTCAGTCTCTGCTTCAGTCTCTACCTCAGTCTCTGCTTCAGTCTCTGCCTCAGTCTCTGCTTCTGTCTCTGCTTCCGTCTCTGCTTCAGTCTCTCCCTCAGTCTCTGCTTCAGTCTCTGCTTCTGTCTCTGCTCCAGTCTCTCCCTCAGTCTCTGCTTCAGTCTCTGCTTCAGTCTCTGCTTCAGTCTCTGCTTCAGTCTCTGCTCCAGTCTCTCCCTCAGTCGCTGCTTCAGTCTCTGCTCCAGTCTCTCCCTCAGTCTCTGCTTCAGTCTCTGCCTCAGTCTCTTCCCTCTGGATCCTCTGCTGTGGTCACCTTGCCTCAGTTTTGCCGTGGGGCTGACGACAGAGGTTTGAGAGAGAGGAGAATGTTGGTCTGAGGACTGACCACAGCATTGTTGGTGGTTCACCGCTGGCTGTCATCGCTCTGGTCGTTCCCACACAGACACTAACAGCAGCTGTGGGTGGGCATCAGGGCTAAACGGAGGGATGTGGACCTCAACGATGCATCGCAATCAGACTGAGATTTCAAAGCAAACACATGAGCGTCTGAGTGTGATTTAGACGGATTAGGTTCAAGTTATGAGAGTATAAGGCAGGGGTGTCGGGATGAGGAAGTTTGGTTTAAAGACTTTTGTTTTTTTACTGCGCTTTTTTGGATTCTAAAAGACACTCTCTTCACTCCATAGACCAGCGAGAGATCAGAGAGACCAGTGAGACCAGAGAGACCAGTGAGATCAATGAGACCATAGAAAGAAACCAGGGAGACCAAAGAGAGACTAGAGAGGGACCAGAGAGAGAGACACTTGGTCTCTGGTCTCTCTGGATTCAGATCTCTGGTCTTTCTAGTCTCCCTGGTTTTTGGTCCCTGGACTACGGAGGAAGCTTGACGATGTTTCCGCTTAACACTTCCTGACCCCACTTCCTGCCCCAAAGCCTGATGGGAAGGAACAGTTTCCATGTGCAGCAGGCGAGGAGGCGTGGGGAGTCATATGTGGATTTTAAAACAAAGTCGGCCAGACCAGGACTGGTGCTACTACCATGTCGCAGCCATTTAGCTTATGTTCAAAATGGCTGCTTTAGCATTAAGGCTAACCCTCTGGCAGCTGGTCAGGGCAAAAATGATACCTGTAACATTTTGAAGGTATTTCGACATTACTTTTATTTTTCATTAAATACATTTATAATTTGTATTTAACTAAAACTGGACCAAATAAAAAGGTAAAAATGTTGTTTTGTAATTAACTATTTTAACGTCTAATGATGGGTTGGGTTCAAATTTTAGAATAAATGAAATGCGGTTGTTTATCTGAGAATGTAGATGATGTATAACATACCATGGTGGTCCATTACCATCAATGCTGCAAGTTAATATTGGTCATCAAAAATCATATTTCTGGCCACTCAAAGTCTATCGTAGTCCGGTCCATGGTTTAACCCAGTGATCCAGGACCCATCTCCAGACCTGACCTCAGCTTTGGTCAGCTCCGTTACCTGAACAGTTCCAATGTCACATGTTTGATGGTTTAGACCAGAAGGCAAAGTCTATGCAACAATAGCAACCATATGGACAGCAGTGCTCCTCCACCAAAGGAAACCAGAACCAGCGCTGCCTTTTCCATACAAGTCCACATCTTTGACCAGAGCTCCAGGCCGGGATGGACCAGACCAGGGCCAGCCTTAGGTCCATGAAACCGGATCTGCTGGTCTTTCGTTCACATAGGAAAGAAATCAATGTCTTTTGTATTGCACCCAAACACAGCGATATTCTCCAAAATGTCCCATCTGCTCCGGCTCACGCTTTAGAAAAAAAGTTGTTGTTATTGATATTCTGGTGAATGATGTGAGAGAGTTCCACTGAGAGAGTCGAAGAACAAACATCAGAGAATCAAAAGCACAGGAACTGCAATAATAACAAACACATACGAGCCATTGGTCCATAAGATAAGATAAGATATGCTTTATTTATCTCACAAAGGAGAAATTTACATGTCACATTGGCATGGATAGAAACACTGAAGATTGTGCAAAAAGAAGAAATGTGCAAACATGTTAAATACAGGATATATTATGTACAATAAAAAAGTGGCAATTTAAAAGCGGCAATCAGAAATAGTGTCAATAGAAGTGCAGCTTTTTCAGTCTTATACAGTAACTTAAAGTGACTTATTGTACAGTCTGACAGCGGTGGGGATAAAGGCCCTGCGGTAGCGCTCCTTCTTACACTGAGGGTGCCTCAGTCTTCCACTGAAGGAGCTCCTCAGCTCCTCTACAGTCCTGTGCAGTGGGAGGTGTTGTTCATGATGGAGGTGGCTTTGGCTAGCACCCTCCTGTCCCTCACCTCCTCCACAGAGTCCAGGGAGCAGCCCAGAGTGGAGCTGGCCCTCCTGACCAGCTTGTTCAGTCTGCTTCTGTCCCGCTCTGTGCTGCCCGGGGCCCAGCACACGGCAGCGGGTTGAGGAGTGGGCTGAACATGTTTATAAATCTCCTCAAATGTCACGCTCATGGTTTAGGTATATTTCCTGTTTTATTCATAGACTGTATATATTAACGGACGTAGTCACGCCTATCTCCACTGTTCTAACTAATGGGCCAAAAATTGGGTTCTCATGGAATGATTCAAAATGGCCGCGGGGGCTGGAAAATGTGAAAAAACGCATCTGCGCATGCCCCCCACTTTGGGAACCACTGCCTTAGATCAAGGGTCTCACTTTCCGCTCCGGAGCTACTGAGGCCTCTCTCTCTTCTTTCTCTCTGGTCTCTCTCTGGTCTCTCTCTCTGGTCTCTCTCTCTGGTCTCTCCTGTCTCTCTCCGGTCTCTCTTTCTTGTCTCTCTCTCTGATCTCTCCTGTCTCTCTCTGGTCTCTCTCTCTGGTCTCTCCTGTCTCTCTCTGGTCTCTCTTTCTTGTCTCTCTCTCTCTGTTCTTTCTCTCTTTGTCTTTTGTCTCTCTCTATAAACCAGATCTCCATAATCCATTGTAGCACAACTAAGCACTCTTTAGTCCCAGGAAAAACTTCCGGGGAACAGGTTGGAGACCCCTGAATTACACATCAGCGAGGAAAGAGTCAAAAACACATCACAATTTAGACAAGGACACACAATACTCCCAGCAGAACACACACACACACACACACCATACTGCACTTTTATAGCGACACTGATCAATACATTTTCGACATACTTCAGAGTTTTCTCATATCAAGCAGTCTGACCATCTGCCCTGCCCTGGTCGCCGTGTGGTCAGCGTGGACTAGAGTTACCAGCAGAGTCCAGACCGGCGGGACCTTATCCACCGTGGACCGGTCCTGTGGGACGGGGGTCGATGCTGGGGGCAGCTGCTGCAGACGATGGTGGTCAGGTTTAGTGGACGGAGACCTTGGAATTCACAACCTGGAGCTGGGAAGAGCAGGAGGAATGTATCGAGTGAGAAGGGAGTTGAAAAGGTTAAAAAAAACGTTGTCTTCTCCGGTTTTGCAAAGCTGTTTTTGGGAAGAAGTTATCACAGACAGATTGATGGGTGAATAGACTCAGAGAGAGAGAGAGAGACTCAGAGAGAGAGAGACCCAGAGAAAGAGACTCAGAGAAAGAGAGTCAGAGAGAGAGAGACGCAGAGAAAGAGACTCAGAGAAAGAGACTCAGAGAGAGAGACTCAGAGAGAGAGACTCAGAGAGAGAGAGACTCAGAGAGAGAGACTCAGAGAAAGAGAGAGAGAGAGAGACTCAGAGAAAGAGACTCAGAGAGAGACTCAGAGAAAGAGACTCAGAGAGAGAGACTCAGAGAGAGAGACATCAGAGAGAGAGACTCAGAGAAAGAGACTCAGAGAGAGAGACTCAGAGAGAGAGAGAGACTCAGAGAAAGAGACTCAGAGAGAGAGACTCAGAGAGAGAGAGAGACTCAGAGAGAGAGAGACTCAGAGAGAGAGAGAGACTCAGAGAGAGAGACTCAGAGAGAGAGAGAGAAAGACTCAGAGAGAGAGAGAGAGACCTCAGAGAAAGAGACTCAGAGAGAGAGACTCAGAGAGAGAGAGAGACTCAGAGAGAGAGACTCAGAGAGAGAGACTCAGAGAGAGAGAGAGACTCAGAGAGAGAGAGAGACTCAGAGAGAGAGACTCAGAGAGAGAGACTCAGAGAGAGAGAGAGACTCAGAGAGAGAGAGACTCAGAGAGAGAGAGAGACTCAGAGAAAGAGAGACTCAGAGAGAGAGAGAGAAAGACTCAGAGAGAGAGAGAGACCCAGAGAAAGAGACTCAGAGAGAGAGACTCAGAGAGAGAGAGAGACTCAGAGAGAGAGAGAGACCCAGAGAAAGAGACTCAGAGAGAGAGACTCAGAGAGAGAGAGAGACTCAGAGAGAGAGAGACTCAGAGAGAGAGAGAGACTCAGAGAAAGAGAGACTCAGAGAGAGAGAGAGAAAGACTCAGAGAGAGAGAGAGAGAGAGAGAGACTCAGAGAAACAGACTCATAGAGAGAGAGAGACTCAGAGAAAGAGAGTCAGAGAGAGACTCAGAGAAAGAGACTCAGAGAGAGAGAGACTCAGAGAGAGAGAGAGAGACCCAGAGAAAGAGACTCAGAGAGAGAGAGACTCAGAGAGAGAGAGACTCAGAGAGAGAGACTCAGAGCGAGAGACTTAGAGAGAGAGACTCAGAGAGAGAGACTCAGAGAGATAGAGACTCAGAGAGAGAAAGACTCAGAGGGAGAGAGAGAGAGAGACTCAAAGAGAGAGACTCAGAGGGAGAGAGAGAGAGAGGCTCAAAGAGAGAGACTCAGAGGGAGAGAGAGAGAGAGACCAAAGAGAGAGACTCAGAGAGAGAGAGAGAGACTCAGAGAGAGAATCATGTTTTGACACGCTAGTTTTATCCAATCCATTTTATAAAGCATATTTTATAAAACACACATAGGAAAGTCAAAAAATAAAAATATGTATATCCAAACAGACACAGGAGCACCAGGTGCCACTGTGGTTGTGTCCTTAGGCAAGACACTTCCCCCACATTAGAATGAGTCTGGTGTGTGTGTGTGAGTGGTTGGTGGTGGTGGGAGGGGCCGACGGCACATACTGGTTTCCTCACTTCTGTCAGTGTGCCCCAGGGCAGCTGTGACTACAGTAGTTTACAACCACAGTGTTTGGAGGGAATGAATAATGACATACTTGCTTCTATATGATTCTAAAGTTAGAGATTTTAAACTGGCTTCTTTATTTTTCTACAGTACTTCATTCTTCAGCAATCATTACTTTGGTTTTCCTTTTCGCAGTAAACCAAAATGGCTTCAAACATGGACTTCTAACACTTTCACTCGAGCCTATAATAATATGACTTTTATTCTGCCGTTCGTCCAATTCCCATCAGTGCAGTTTGTTAAAGATCAAAACCTCCAAAATCTTTCAAACTCCTCATGACGAGCCCAGAACTTATAAAAACATTTAACGGCCGAGTCTCTGGCCCAGATCTGAACATTATGGAACAGAACGATGAAAACAGACTACAGAAACGACGTGTGTGCATGTACCTTGGCACTAACAGTCAGGACCAGTATTTACAAGACGGCTGCGTGTCGTGGAGACAATAAAGTTACAATTCTGGGAAGACTGTTTTTTTTACTGGATTTGACTTCAACCAATGAGAGAAAAGAGCTCAAAACCAGCAACGGTGTTTCCATATTGGGCTGTTTCTGGTCTCTCTCTGGTATATCTGGTGTCTCCCTGGTCTCTCCCTGGTCTCTCCCTGGTCTCTCTCTGGTTTCTCTCTGGTCTCTCTCTGTCTTACCCTGCTCTCTCTCTCTAGTCTCTCTTTCTGGTCTCTCTCTCTCTGGTGTCTCTCTGGTGTCTCTATGGTCTCTCTCTCTCTGGTCTCTCTCTGGTTTCTCTCTGGTTTCTCTCTGGTCTCTGTCTCTGGTCTCTCTCTGGTCTCTTTCTGGTCTCTCTCTCTCTGGTGTCTCTCTGGTCTTTCTCTCAGGTCTCTCTTTGGTCTCTCGCTCTGGTTTCTTTCTCTTGTCTG